ACAACACCAAGCATATTGCGCCGAAGTTCTTCTTTACACATCAACAACAAGAGCATCAGAAGATTGAAGTCACGCAAATCCAATCACAAGACAATTTGGCCGACCTCTTCACCAAATCACTACCGAAGGCGACGTTTCAGAAGCTTGTTCATGGAATTGGTATGCGTAACTTTCTGAGTTGTAACTTTGCTATTTCTCTGTGGAATTATGTCAAACTCAGGGGGAGTATCTTCTAGATACTTGCTTGATCTTAATGTACTCTTTTTTCCCTACGATTAGGAGCATTTTTCCCACTGGGTTTTTGCTACCTAACTAGGTTTTAACGAGGCACCCACCTTGGGCTGGTCATATCCCTGATGACGTCCTGTAGACGTTTCTTTTGACTTTGCATTTCTCACGCATTTTTCCTTAGACTATGGATTTTGTCCCTACTTGGGTTTTTGCCATAGCCTTAGGGTTTTTAGTGAGACTTACTACTTATGCAAGTTCCTACCTTATTGAGAATAAGCGTTGTTCCTTGGAATCAGTGCCAACGAGTCGACTTCCTCAACTTCTGCATGATGCTGAATCTACCTTGAGTATTTACACACTCAAGGGGGAGTGTTGTAAACATTCCTAGTTTAAGTATGATTGTGTAAATCCTAGATAAGATTTGATTCTAGTTATCATTTCCTATTACAACTTGTATTACTTGGAGAAGAAGGAATATCTTCTCTCCCTTTACTACTATAAATAAAGGCACAATGTAGGAGGGATAACAATACACACATTCCCCTACAATTCTACAAACACACATCTCTCTCCTCTCTCTCTCTGCCGCCGGCCCTAGTCCCTCTGTCAGATAAAATAGACCACAACAAATACAAATTTTTTCCGTCTATCATACACCTAATTTTCTCACTTTTAGTGGAATTTATCACATCTTTAGTCAACATTTTTTTATTAAAATGATTTAAAACGAAAGAGTTCGACCTCAGAACATTAGATGAAGATATGAATATTCTTAACAAGTTAAACTATAAGTTCTCTGCATTTTTTATCATCGATAAATAATATTAACTTGTGCGGACCAAAAATGGAAAATTGGAACTTCAAGTGTATCTATAATGCCTAAATGTATGGCCAACACTATTTTAAGTCATTCGAAATTAAACGATAACACAAGAGGACATTAAATGCTTCTCTAAGTCATATTGCTCAAAACAAGCTAGGAGACACGTACGACGTCTTTGTTGGGAATAGTAAGCAATTTTGTTTTTCAAAGTGACATATTGGAGCAATGTCTTTTCAAGAGACAAGGGTTCGAATTTGGATAACATAATGCAGATACTTTTAGGTGGTAGAGCACTATGTATGTAGCTAGTTTGGCCACGTTTTGATTTTAGCATGGCTTATATATCTTTCTTTAAGATCTCTTGAATAATTTCATTTGAGCGATATTTTTGCAAATATTTTAATGGTTCAAATAATTTATATATAATTTTTTAAACATATGATATTTTGTCTACGCTAAGGAAGAAAAATGGGCTAAGCCTTACAATGAGCTAATCAATAATAATTTGGTTTGAATTTACCTTTAGTAATAATCAAACCTTAAGAGCTCTCACTTATAAGTGAAAAAAAAATCACCAGATGTAAAAATTAGCCGACCATACTAAGCAGCCGACCAACTTATATTTTAGTTTACCATTCACTAATTATCCTTGTAAAAAATTAGATAAATTCAAAATCATTAAGACATTCAATTATAGTGAATATAATGAGAATACGGTTTTCAAAGAAACGCTAAATGTCTTCGATTAATCTAACAATTACATAGTTTCAAATTTGGGTGACTGTTCGTACAAATTAATCATCAAGAGAACATAAAAAATATACAATTAGATCGTTGAAGTACATTGTAGAGTGAGCCTTAAAAAATCTCTCAGTTGCAGCTCTATATGTGTGCACTTAGGTACCGTTTGGTACGCAGACGGGACGGAACAGGACAGGACGGGACGAGACGGAACAGATGATGTAAATGTTGAAAAAGATAAGGAGAAATTTTGTCATAAAATGTTATAAATTTGTGTTCCACGGATGTGGAACGGGTCGTTCCAGGGGGGAGAGGTGGAACGAAAAATCAGCCAAATTTCGTCCCATGGGACAACCCGTTCCACAGTTTTTAGGCGCACCAAACGAGGGACGAAACGGCTCGTCCCGTTCCGTCCCGTCCCGTCCCACGTACCAAACGGTACCTTAGTTCTTGTAGTTCAAATGTTCAGACAAAGTTATTAAAAATAAAAGAAAATATTATAAAGGATTGTTTCACATATAGTTCATAAAAATTCATGCAGTTGGGTTCCATGCACTTCCAACAATTCTTATCTTATCTAATTTTTTTCTCTTTTCTAACAATACTTTTGGGTAATTGCGTAAAGCCCAGGTTGATTGAGATTTTGAGAGGAGAATATTGCTTGCCAGCAATGAGACTTGTGGACACTGTGGCGGTATGGCCTATGGGGTGAGAATGGGGGACATTTTAGGGTTCTGTCCCATACTGTCTAAGCAACTTAACGCAAGGTTTTGTTTAGTGGGGACTTCAATTGGGCCTTTGTTCCCCTATAATCTTAAGACTCTAAACCTTGTTAATCGGTATTTTATCTTAAGAAAGCCTTAATTTTTGCATTAGCTTTGAATTTTGAGGTTTTTCCACCATATTGTGTATGAGATATGATCCCGTGTTTGAATTTTGAGGTTCTTTTACTATAGATTGTCAGAATTCAGCCGTGTAAATCTAATAATCCATTGCACCGGTGCATCATAACAATTTTGTGACTTTTGATCAATGTGCAAGACTGCAAGTCACAGACACCATATGAAATGAAGGTAAGTTTTAGAATGCATGGTGCACAATAAAGAAAGCTACAAAACATGCTGAGATGAATCTATCAGAGATTATGCAGGATTGGCTAAGAGAGAATACAGACGGAAAATTGTGAGTCACGACAAGCATATTGTCTCCTCTCTCTGACCCATTAGGCAGTACTGCATAATTCGGATCCTAACAGTCGGCCTAACACGCCATATTTTTGTTGGCTAGACCAATCAAATTTGAGTTTTTGTTGGTGTGGGACAATAACGCATTTCAGATAAGAGGCAAATATAAGTTACAAGTCCTCCTGGAAAATGCGATTGAGCTGATTGCTGGCAAATGCAGAAATTGAGCTTATCTGGTAGTGGAAAATGGGGGTAGATTTATCATGCATGGCGAGATAAGTGAATTCATTGGTATTGTGCATATTTGGTCGTAAACATGCGCGTGTGCTCACACCCACACGCACACTGCCGGAATGCCCCAAACACCAAGGAATGGGAGAGACTACATTTTTTTATTTCAGTGGGCGGGCCAAATCAATTGACTACACCAAGGAGTTCCAAAAGAGAAAAGTAAAAGATGAAAGCTGTGCTGCATGTCTGCTTCTTTAGCATTAAAATTTAAAGGGCCTCTCCCACAATACTCCTTTTTGATAAGAGATTATCCCTTCTTTTTTCCCTGGTGGGGCTTGGACAATAGAGATTTTTCAATGAGTTGAAAATACGGACCGGTACATCAAGTATATTAATATAATTAGTTATAGATTTTTTGTTAAGTTTCTAATCAATTGTGGATTATTACACGTAATATATCGAACCGTCTTCCTAACACATTGAAAAATTCTACTTCTTTGAATACTTCCCTTCATTTTCCATAGAAATCCGAAGAAAAGTTTGTCTAGCCATTTTAAGTTACAAGGTGATCCACTGAGATGATTACATATGTGCCAGAAATTAGACTAAGATCACATCACCCCTAGTGCATTGGATTGTAATTGTGCATGCATGCTTTCTAGGAAGAGTAGTGGTAGTTCACACATGTGATTTATAAGAAGAGTATTATAACGGTTATTCACGCATCAATGCATGTGCACATGCGTGATTAACTGTGCATAATATTTTTCTTGTCGTTACAAGTTTCAGGCTGGTCAACCAACAAATCTGTAGTTGATTACTGACACTGTTTAGTATAGTTTTCTAAACCAACTTCCATTAGTGTTCAAATTCCAATCCTTGTAACTACTTTCTCTGAATGTAAAACCAAGACTTTAAATGAGAGGAGGCAGCAAGATATTACTGGGCCATAGAAAAATCTAAGCCAGTAAAAAATTACTTGGCCAACAATAAACTTTCATTTTATTTTATATTAAAGAGTGACTTCCAAGCACAGAAAAGTTTGGTAGCATCTACCAAATTCTCCAAACCTGTAATGATATGCACAAAATAGTCAGCAAAACACTAAACACTACATGCCTATAGCCCCCATAGGCCATAGGCAACACCCCACTTGAGAGCCAATTCCACATCTCCTCATCCTAAAGATTAGAAGCCCTAGAATCCAAGGAAACACATATCCTTTGCCCTTTCCCACCATCCCCAGCACAAACTCCTCTGGTTTTAATTAACTCAGTGCTGACTCATTACAAGGATAAATGTGAAAGCTTTTTCCTTCCTTCGTAGTAAATGCCCCACTCAAAGAGAATGACTTGTTATACCATTGGAAACATATTTGACATTTCAGATCAATAATATGATATCATGTGTTTTAAGTTTCTCACATCATATCGCATTATTAATTTGAAAGATAGCATCATTTCAACGTCTTCGTTTCGTAATAGTCTTTCTCCTTTGAAAAACCTCCAAAACACACAATCATATAGAGTTGAAATGCATACTTATATAGACTAAAAAGCACATGAGTTGATTATTTTAAAGCCAGCTTCCCCACTACTAGCAATCATTTCAAACCCATAAGTCTCTCCACAATCTCACAAAACCCTCCTTTTATCTCACAACTCTTCCCTCCCCTTTAATACCGTCAACACCAGTCACAAATTCAAACAAGCTTTACCTGCACACCAAAAAAAAAACCCCACATATTCTTATTACACAAATTCAATTTGAAAATTTCACAGACCTCAAACATGTCCATGATTAGTACAGGGGTGCTTTCAGCAGACCCCGGAGCTGATAAGATACACAAGAAATTGTTCCACCACAGGAACGACTCCGGCGAGCTCGATGTTTTTGAAGCTGCAAGGTACTTCTCAGGATACAATGAAGCTCCCAGCAGCCATAAAAACAACAAGACATCGGCATTTTCGCAGAGGATGATGAAAGAAGACAGATCGTCATGGAGAGGAGGCAGAATCAGCCTTGACATGCCTATCAGACACATGCTCCATCATCCTCAGCAAAACCCTAATCACCATAACCAAGTGGCGATGGAAAAGCAAAGCAACATCAAAGACAAGAAGTACAAGCAACCAAGCTCTCCAGGCGGGAGGCTGGCCAGCTTCCTGAATTCTCTATTCAACCAATCGGCGTCCAAGAAGAAGAAGTCGAAATCCAGCGCCACACAGTCCATGAAAGATGAGGAGGAGAGCCCGGGTGGGAGAAGGAAGAGGAGGAGCAGCATTAGTCATTTTCGAAGCTCTAGCACCACGGATGCCAAGTCCGTGTATTCCTCATCCAGTTCAGGATTTCGAACACCTCCACCTTATAGCCATGCTCAAATGGTAGCCTCCAATAGCTACAAAGATTTGAGAAGCTATTCGGATAATCACGAGCAGCAATATCAACAGCAGCAGCAGCAGCAAACGGTTTCCTTATCAAAGTACAATACGAACTTCGATGAGAAAAGATCATCAAACAAAGAACTGACTTGGTTGGATCATGAGAAGTTCAAATTATCGGAGAAGTATAAGATTAGTTCCGACCAGGACCACAAGGGTTTGCTCAGGAGGCTCAGTGAGGTTGTTGATGACGAGCGGGAAGATGAAGGTGCAGAGAGTGATTCGAGCTCTGATCTTTTCGAGCTGCAGAATTATGACTTGGGTTATTACTCGAGCGGCCTTCCTGTGTACGAAACTACAAATGTAGACAACATCAAGATCAGATCAGTAACACCAATTTCCAATGCCTCATCCTAAAACCTACATTTGTGTTGGATTATGCATATGTGGTTGAGAAAGGAATTAAAATTTCCTACATTTGTCTTTTTAAGTTCTCTTATCTTAAACTTCCATTGGCCTTTTTTCTATGTATGTACAGTTGAGAATGTTTGTTTTCTGCTTTTACTTTGCTTTTGGAGATATATATGTATATGTTAAGATTTTTAGTATACTTGTATCTTATATTTCTTGATTTTTTAAAGATTCTTATATTTCTTGATTTTTTAACAGTTAGATGTTAAAAGTTAATGCTTTACTTAAACTGATTCTGCTTTACTGAAACTGATTATGTGTAAAAGGGCTAACTGTTGCCTTTATCAGTCGACCCATTCTCTTTATCAGTCGACCCATTTACTTCAGTCGGCTTATGTATTGAGCCATATATATATCATAAATATCTAAATGAAAATATAGATCTCTGTTTTTACAAAAAGCATCAGCCCTCTGTTTCCAAAGCTCTCTGCACTCTGTTTCTTTGATTTTCAATCTTTATCATTTTATTCAAGTTTTATTAATGATGAAAGATTGTCTAAATACCAACATGGTATCAGAGCCAATCTGATCAAAGAGTGGGGCGTTTTTTTTTATCAAAAAGGGGGGAAATTCTAATTAAGTGAAACCCTAGAATCAAAATTTTTCAAATTCATGGCTGGTTCAAGTAGCAGTGGTGAGATTCGAACTCCTATCTTCAGTGGAGTAAACTACGACTTCTGGAGGACAAATTTGAGAACAATTTTTGTATCTCATGATTTGTGGAGCTTGATTGAAGATGGCTATGTTGTACCTCCAAGCACTGTGGTTTTGACAGAGACTCAAACAAGGGAGTTGAAGGTAAACATCAAGAGAGATGCAAAAGCTCTTGGGGTCATCCAAAATGCTATCTCAGATGAAATTTTTCCGAGAATCTCAAATGAGACAAGTGCCAAATCAGCTTGGGATGTGCTGGAGAAAGTCTACAGAGGTTCTACTAAGGTAAGGGCTGTCAAACTCCAATCTTTGAGAAGAGATTTTGAGTATATAAGAATGAAAGATGATGAATTGCTAGATGATTACCTGAGTAGATTGTCTGAGATTATTAATCAAATGAAAAGCTATGGTGAAATCTTGTCTGATGAGAGAATAGTTCAGAAGTATCTAATTAGCTTGCCAAGAAAGTATATGACAACATAGTTTCAATCATAGAGGAGAGACTAAGGATTTGTCAACTTTGAGTGTTGAAGAATTGATTGGTTCTCTCAAAGGTTTTGCTCAGAGATTATCTAGGCATGACAACAATGATGTAGAAAATGCTTTCCAAACACTTACAGTGAATCCAAAAACTCAAGCTAGTTCAAGTCAAAGCAAAGCCAACTCCAACAAGAATTGGAAAGGCAAAAACAAAGCGTGGGAAGGAAAGGGTAATTTTGAAGAGAAGAAAAAGGTTGAGAAGAGTTTGTATGTTTCAAAGTGCAAAATTTGTGACAAAGCTCATTCCAGTGAATGTTGGTTCAAAGGAAAAGTGAAATGCCACAAGTGTAGCAAATTGGGGCATATGCAAAAGGATTGTACCTACAAAGATAATCAGCTAGCTCACTACACCAAAGCAGAAGATGAAGAGACCAATATGTTTTATGTTGGTCATGATACAACCGTCCAAGAAGAAGCTAAAGTTTGGTTTGTGGACAGCGGCTGTAGCAATCATATGACGGCGAATAAGAACATTCTCCATAATGTTGACACTACAAACCTAACCCGAGTGAAGATGGGAAATGGGCAGCTAGTCGATACATTGGGAAGAGGTACTATTGCCGTGCATACGAAGAATGGAAAGATGTTCATCAAGGATGTCATGTTAGTTCCTGATTTAAAGCAAAATTTGCTAAGTCTTGGACAACTCATTGAGCATGGCTACTACTTATATTTTGGAGACAATACTTGCAAGATATATGATAGGAGGAATCGTCAACAACTCGTGGCTAAGATTGAGATGAGGAAGAGTAGAAGTTTTCCACTCACAATTGAGTATGCAACTCAATCTGCATTCAAGATGGAAGTGCAAGAAGATTCAAAGCTATGGCATAAAAGGCTTGGCCACTTGAATTTTCAAAGTCTCAAGAAGCTACAAGAAAAAGAAATGGTGCATGGGTTGCCGAGTATCCAAGAAAATGAAGAAATCTGTGAAGGGTGTGCACTTGGAAAGCATCATAGAGATTCATTTCCACATGGTAAAGCTTGGAGAGCAAAAGTTCCATTGGAATTGATTCATACAGATGTTTGCGGACCCATGAAGACCTCTACTCAAGTGGGAAACAAGTATCTTCGTGGATGATTATTCCAGAATGACTTGGGTATACTTTCTAAGACAGAAATCAGAAGTGTTCTCAATCTTCAAGAAGTTTCAAGCTAAGCTATGGTTGAGCGACAATCTGGGTATCTAATCAAAGTTCTTAGAAGTGACAGAGGAGGAGAGAGTATACATCCACAGAATTTTGATAAGTTTTGTCAAGATATTGGCTTGGAAAGACAACTTACTGTCAGCTACACTCCACAACAAAATGGAGTAGCTGAGAGAAAAAACAGAACCATAGTCGAAATGGCTAAGGCAATGTTACATGACAAGGGAATACCTCAATATTTGTGGGGTGAGGCAGTTAATACAGCGGTCTACTTGATGAATAGGCATCCAACAGTGGCAGTTGAAGATAAGACACCATTTGAGGCATGGAGTGGCAGAAAGCCTTCTGTGAATCATTTGAGAGTGTTTGGGTCAATCTGCTTTGCTTATGTTCCGAAAGAACTAAGACAAAAACTTGATGAGTCAAGTGAAAGATGCATTTTCGTAGGTTATGCTTCATACACAAAAAGGTACAGACTCTACAATTTAAAAAGGAAGAAAGTTGTGGTTTGTAGAGATGTTCTTTTTAGTGAGAAATCTTCGTGGGATTGGAATCAAGCAACCATCCGAGAGGAATCTGCACAAATCAGAATTGAAGAAGAAAATCAACCAAATGAAGAGGAAATTGAGCCAGAAATTCCACAATTATCACCTGAAAACAGTCCTCAAGCTCACTCTCCTACACTTTCAAGTCCAAGTTCAACGCCGGTTCGGTTAAGGAGCTTAAATGAAGTCTATGAAAGCTGCAATTTTTGTGTTGAAGAACCAGAAAACTTTGATGATGCAGTGAAAGAAGAGACTTGGAAGGCTGCAATGCAAGAGGAGATCAATGTCATTGTGAAAAACAAGACATGGGAACTAGTGGACAGACCTTGTGACAACTCCGTCATTGGAGTGAAATGGATTTATAAGACTAAGCTCAATCAAGATGGTTCCGTTCAAAGGAACAAAACTAGATTGGTAGCAAAGGGTTATTCTCAGAAACCCGGAATTGATTTCCAAGAAACATTTGCACCGGTAGCTAGGCATGAAACAATCAGAGGCCTTATTTCCGTAGCTGCTCAGAAGGGGTGGTTTCTACACCAACTTGATGTCAAGTCGGCTTTCCTAAATGGAGTCCTAAAAGAAGAGGTGTTTGTTGACCAACCTCAAGGATTTGTTCTTAAAGGACAAGAGCACAAGGTGTATAAACTTAAGAAGGCACTTTATGGCCTGAAACAAGCTCCGAGAGCATGGTATGGAGAGATCGACTCATATTTCAATGAAAGAGGTTTTCAAAGAAGTGAGAATGAACCTGCCCTCTATGTCAAAACAGAAGGTATTTCAGATATCCTTATTGTTTCCTTATATGTTGATGATTTGGTTTATACTGGAAGTAGTCATAATATGATCTTGAATTTCAAGAATGACATGATGAGGAAATATGAGATGAGTGATCTAGGCATGTTGCATTATTTTTTGGGAATTAGTATCATTCAATCAAATGATGGTATCTTTATTACTCAAAAGAAATATGCAAAAACACTTCTAGAAAAGTTCAAAATGGTTGGTTGCAAGCCTGTTGCAACACCTCTAGTTGTGAATGAAAAGTTTCAAAGAGAAGATGTTAGTGGTGATGCTGATGAATCTGTGTATAGAAGCCTGGTTGGGAGTTTGTTGTATTTGACAGCGACTAGACCCGATGTTATGTATGTTGCAAGCTTGTTGTCCAGATTTATGCACAAGCCTACTTGCATTCACTATGGAGCTGCAAAGAGGATCCTAAGATACATACAAGGTACACTTGACTTTGGTATTATGTATGAAAGGAATGTTAAGCCCAAATTGTATGGGTTCTGTGATAGTGACTGGGGAGGTAGTGTGGATGACTTGAAGAGCACATCTGGCTATACTTTTACATTAGGGACTGGTGTATTCTCTTGGGCATCTAAGAAACAGAAATCAGTTGCACTATCAACGGCAGAGGCTGAGTATGTGTCGGCTTCAATTGCAACTTCTCAAGCAGTGTGGCTGAGAAGAATTATGCAAGATTTTGGTGAGAAACAAGAATCAGGAACTCATATCCTTTGTGACAATAAGTCAGCTATTGCCATGAGCAAGAATCCTGTCTGTCATGGTAAATCAAAACATATTGCTCTGACGCATCACTACATCAGAGGTGTTGTGGAAGACAATGAAGTGGATGTGGTCTACTGCAAGACAGAAGATCAAGTTGCTGATATCTTCACCAAGGCATTACCAAAGGACAGATTCATCTACCTAAGAGAACTTTTGGGAGTGAAGCAGCAAAGCATTAAGAGGGAGTGTTAAAAGTTAATGCTTTACTTAAACTGATTCTGCTTTACTGAAACTGATTATGTGTAAAAGGGCTGACTGTTGCCTTTATCAGTCGACCCATTTACTTCAGTCGGCTTATGTATTGAGCCATATATATCAGAAATATCTAAATGAAAATATAGATCTCTGTTTTTACAAAAAGCATCAGCCCTCTATTTCCAAAGCTCTCTGCACTCTGTTTCTTTGATTTTCAATCTTTATCATTTTATTCAAGTTTTATTAATGATGAAAGATTGTCTAAATACCAACATTAGATTCTTATATTTCA